TATAGCGTCATATGGAAAATCCCCACGCGAATAATATCTTACCTATTAGTAGTCCTGCGATGAGTTCGGTGCTGTAGGGTGGAACATCACATGTGGGATAGAATGGATGCAACATATAGAGAGCAAACGTTAGCCCAACAATAGTTATAGCGCAAGGTCTGGAATGCTGGTTTGATTTTGCAAATCAATCATTCATGAAACAGCTCTAAACTCTTGTAGTTCCCTATTTGCAAATACATGCGATCTTGTTTCCTAACAAGATATTTGCATCTCCACCAGTGCTTATTTCGAATATTAGCCGACAAACCTGTTTAGGCCCCACATCTACAGCTTGGGTACATCTTTGGTTCAGTTTTTTAAAAAGAAGTAACAGTAAAGCTTCAAATCTGTTTGCTTACAAGAATTGCGTCTCGTTGTCCCTATTTCAAACAAATATAATCACATCACTTTCTCTAAGTAAGGACTACAAGTACTTTATTGGCTGGCCGCGGCCAGCTAGAAATGCTAGCTGTGTAATCTTGCAGATAATGAAAAAGACTGAAACATAAATGAACTCAAAACTACAAAAGATTGATGACAAGCCCTCGTGAACCCTTACTCTTTCAAAGAGAACCACATCCTTCTTTGAGCGTTGAGCCGTAACCACATCCCTTTACTCGAGGCATCCTCCCCCTGTTAGAGTTCATTCTCACAAATATGACCGCTTCCTCCTGTCGCGAAAATGTTGATGATGATAAGCTCCCCTCCTCCCTCCCTTCCCCCAAACGAAATGCATACGGCCCTATAACTGTGCTTACCTACTACTGCCTAGTAACAACTGCTCCGTTTTGAAGCATTCTAGAAGATTGCTGACTTAAACTTCGCTCCTCCTTGATACTCTTAATCGAAAATTGTATGTGTTTACATGAGCTTGTATTTCTGGTCGTGATGAATCAGAATTGCACCATCTCACTCTTAGCGAAAAGGATCGAACCAGTTAAAAATTGCAAAATCAGGCATTCAAGACGCTAATTCATGTAAATTAGCTGCGATATCTTCCGGTCCTACACTGATGCCTAAAGCTCAACCTGTGTCCGTTCAGTTACAAAACTAACATAAACATTTAGAATCTTTAAATTATTTCTATAATTATGTATAATTCGAAACTCTCAAAAATGTATATACTTGCTTCTACACCAATTCAGTCTCTGATAATGGTCAAGATACCTATAACTGGCCAGAAGAAAGATGTCAACCGTTTTTTAGCATACTTCTTGATCTTCCATTTCACCTTTAACCATGTCGAAATGGCTGGTTGCACATTTTCTTTTGGAGGTATGACCTCCTCCTTGATGTTGTATACTAACCTCCAGAATCTCAGTTCAAGTTCCAAAGAAACTTATCCTCGATTCATAAAATTGATAGGCAAAAAAGTTGCAACTGGCATGTATATTTTGACGATTTTTACGTTGTAAGCTTAATTCGCGCCAAGTAGCCTAATGTCTTTGCTTTGAAAAAACGCTCGCAATGAAGAGCCGCATGGAATTCAGCGTCGGTGTGTCGAAAGTAGAAACAGCTTGGTAGGTGAAAGTGAGACTATTTGAAATAACAGTGGAGATGTACAAAAATGGTTGACAACTTGAATCGTAGAGGTTATTTTGAGTGGGGATTCCATGAAATGTGATCTTACACACTTTTCTTTTTAAACATGAACGCACCTTACAACTATGCTTTCTATCCATAGACGAAGAAAAGCAAGAAATGGGCCAAAAGCTTCCATGATGTATGCATAATCGCCACCAGACTTTGTGATTAAGGTACCCAGCTCAGCATACATATAAGATCCAAGACCGCACCATACACCACATAGAACCCACATTATGAGCGAGGAACCAACAGAGCCAGCAGCTGAAGGATAATGTTAGTAAAAATTAAAAGACAAGGTCGTAATGACTATATCGATTGACCTTCCTGTATCCCTGTAGGACTGACAAAGATGCCCGATCCTATGATGCAGCCGACAATCATAGTTACGCAATTAGTCAATGTAAGCGTCCTTTTGAGACCTTTTCCTGTATCCTAAACTGCTCTGATTAAAGATGTTTAAATGCACTTTTTATTGTTAACAAAATCCACCTTCTCCTCATCACTTCCTCCTAAAGGCTTCTTACTACTGCCAGATTGCTTCATTGGCTCCTCCTCCACAGCTTCGTTATCGACAGCATCCAGGTTATCTGGTCGGTCGCTTTTTGAATGTGCATCATTCTCC